CCTTTTCCATTAGTACCGGTACGGGCTGACTGGACCCTACTTGGCCCGGTTCTGAGGCTTTTCCATTAGTACCGGTACTTAGCACCTGTTACTATTTTCAGTACCCTTGGCTCGGTGGTTCTAACCCCAACGAAGAGGTACTAAAACGTGACGTCAGAACACTGTCGGTCACTGATTGGTCGGGGGTGGAGTCGGGGCGGAGTCACTGGATCCCTCAGAAACTTTTCAAAACAATGATCCGCCATTTGCAATTTCTCAGACTGGAGCAGCGGCTGGACTTACTTTAAAGATTTTAAAAACAATACTGACAACATCTTGGTCTAATGCTGATGTGCTGGCGTTTTTTTGTGCTTGGTGGCCGACAACATAATTCAGAGCAAGCTGGATGGAGCTCTGCTGGTCTACCCCGATCCTCCCCCCGGCGCCTCGGTGTCCCGCATGGCTTCTACGCTCTCGGCTCACAACAAAACACTACACAAGCTTAAGTGGGTGAATCAGAATTAGCATTTATTTGTGTTTTTGGAGGAGAAAAGAAACCACATCTTCCCTGTGGACGGCGCACGATGCTGCGCTCGTAGTTTATAACATTTATTCACAACGAGGAGTAGTTAGCTGAAAATCCACAAAGTTGAGGAAGAACTAACTATTATTGTCGTCATTGGTATTAATGTTGGAATTACCTGCAAATGTCAGCAGCAGCTGACCTGCCGTCACATGAGGCCTCAAATGCCCACCAGAAAAAAAAACAAGTCAACACAATCAACAGTTCCATAGAAAAATAGCAAAAGTTTCTGAAACGGGTGTAAAGTTTCCAAATCCCACATGTCACAATAAAACAGTAAATTGCTTTTACATTCCCAAGCTGGGGCTTACAGTATCTTACAGTTAAAATCAAAAGTTTGTATCTGGCTTCAAAATATTCTAAAAAAAAACCCAAACAATAGGATTATTACATGTGATTAAACAACAGTTAGAACTGAGTGAGCATCAATGCATAACATCTTGAAAAGACAAATGGTTCCACTTGTGAAGGGTTAAGTTTGTAGTTCAAACCCCGACCGTTGTGTTCATGAAGCGTAACCACAGCTCGGTGATTGTAACAAAGTGCGTCAAGCTTTGCATCTTCCGCCATCGCAGCCATTGCTTTAGAAAAATATTCACATTTCTTTGGCAGAAATATATTTACTGTAGTGAACTTGCACTAATCCAAACATGGTTTTTAAGCTTTGCTCAAATGAACGTGGTTATAATAATAATAATAAAAAAAAAAAAAAGAAACGTGAATAAAAATATTGCTGTTTCTCCAAAAATCACCGGTTGTTTTTGGTAACGTATTTTCCAGAATATAAGTCACACCTTTATTCACAGTTTGGCCAGTCCTGTGATTTATAGTCCAAAGCAACTTGTGTATATATTTTTTCCCTATTCATGACGCAATTTTTGACTGACGCGTAAACATAACCATTTACAGCCACAAGAGGGCGCTCTAGGCTTATTACAACTATATGTTGTTCCTCTGCCGCTACCCCCACTCCAAACATTAATTTAGAAACAACTGAGCAAAACATAACACGAGTAAAATGCCAAGTGATGAGGAATGAGGCTGGTGAATTTACTGGTAATGTGTTTGTCTGACTCGTTGGCTCGTGTTGTTAATTAAGCCTGTTCAGGGTCCCAGGTATGTTCTGTGTTGTTGCCATTTCAGATTAAATGTCTGTTCTTGCACTTTGTGAAATACACTTCTAAATAAATGTGACTTATACTCCGAAGCGACTTGTATATTGTTTTTTTCCTCTTTATGAGGCTTTTTTTTGACTGATGCGACTTATAGTCCAGAAAATATGGCACTTAATTACATTGGTTGCCAGGTTTTCATTTGATCTACTTTACTGGTTTATCGGTCTTCGCTGCTGTGGAGCACTTTAACCACAACGAGGATTTTATTTCCAGAGCATTACCAAATTGTGATTCTCTCTATATTTTTTAAATAAATAAAAAGACTAAAAAATAAGACATCAGTGGGACATTTAACATCATTTAGATACATCGACTTCATGCATACTGTTGACAATAATGACAATGATTTTATAACAAAACACAAAGATTTACCTTAAAATTAACAGATTTGCTGATTGTTTTATGCATTTATTTAATTTCACTAGTCGTTATTTGTTTCTCCTTAAATGCCAAGGCATCAGTCTTGTTTTATTTTCACACAGAGTTGAAGCCAATACAAAATACTATATTTGCAGCATTGGAATTAATAATCAATAATTAATTATATAAATTTATTATTATCATAAATAAAAATAATAATCTTCGCCACCACCATTTCAGGCTTTCTGCAATCAGAAGAGAACATATTTAGGAGTTGGGGAATGATACTAGAAAACTTTTTTTGGGCAAAAATATTTATCTTTGACCATTAATATTTATTAAATAAGTAAATATTTTTGAAAATGAGTATTAATTTGAAATGTAGAGGGAGGAAAAAAAAGATGTAGGTAACATTTCATTAAAGAAGCTGACAAAGTTTGAACTGAGTCCATTCTCAAGATGCTTTAAAGGCATCACCTAGTGATCATCAGTTATATTGGTACTTTAATAATAATAATAAACTACTTTTTTTCTTCATACCACTAAATGCAGGAGGGTTTAAATGCAAAGATTAACAAATGTTACTGAAAGGCAAGAACAAAAAAAAAAGTAAAGAAAGTAAAGGACTGATAAACTAAAACTCCTCCATCAAAGTATGACAAATAAAACCACAAATTCCGATACTGATTCATGTTTTTTTCCACCCGTGTACTTTTTTTTTTTTTTAATTGTTATGCAACAAACACACCTGAGAGAAAACCGATAAAATTATTCCAACGTTTTCTTTCTGTAATATATCCATTTATGTAATTTACAACCATTATCACATAATTCAAGCATATATCGTATACACATACATATATCTAGTGAAAGAATACTTTAATATTTAATAATACAGTTGTATGGTACAGTAGCGGTAGGGTGCATTTCTCTCTCGTCAGGTAAAGTTTGAAGGGAGGTATAAACTAAGTGTTTGTGTGTTAATCTATATATGATAAATAAATACAAGTTGCAACAAAAAGTTGAATAAAAGACAAAAGGTATAGGCAGTTGAGTAAAGTGTTTGCATATGTGTGTATTTGTGTGTATTTGTCAGGTAGAGGATCAGATCAGCACCATAGAAGTCCGTAACAACACCACCAACAACAATAAGGATTAAAACCAGGGCGAGGACTGTGCTTGTCTTAGTGTGCATGCTGACGGTTCAGTCTCTGTTCAGTGTGGGCGCATCGACCCTCAACCACCTAGTGCTGCAGTTTATTTGTCCTTCCTGGACACCATTGAGGAGTAAATAGAAAGTACGCACGAGCAATTCACCAAAATAAATGCAAACCTGCCAGAAAAATTAAAAAAATTCCTGCTTTTCTTTTATTCCCAAAAGCGCCTGTTTAAATCCAGGTGTTTCGATGGCTAATCACTTCCTGTTTTATTTTCTGTTTCACCTTCAAAATAAAATAAAAAAAAAGCCCTGTGATTATTTAAAGTCGGACACAGATTTCAAGAGAGAAGAACTCAAGTGCTCAAAATGAGCTCACAAGGAAAAACGAACACAAACGTTTTTAAACTATACATGTTTTTTTTTGTTGTTGTTGTTTCTTCCTCTTACCGCTCCATCGTTCCCCTTCAACACGGAAAGCTATTGTTGCTGAAACAGCTCACCTTGTCTCACGCTGAGTGAAATACCTGATTCAACCTTGATACATTCTCTGTTTCACTTCTGCCTCTGACGAACCGGCTCCGCAACGTTGAAAATAGATCATTTGTTGTTAAGCAATAAACGGCTAAGAGGAAAATCTCTATACGTGGCCCCCCTGACTGTCCAGCTAACAGCCCCGCCCCTCCCCATATAGAAAATATACAAAAGATTATCTCCAAAATCCTCCGTATTAACTCTGCTAATAGAAAAATATACAATAATCATTTGTCAAAATCTCTGCATTATGAACGATAACCCTGCACCTTTTTCCTTCTCCTCCTTTTTGCTGGACTGGTCTTGGCTTCCTGCCCAGTTCAAAAATATACACGTTTTTTTTCTTCTGGTTATAGAAAACAAAAACAAAACTAGTCATCTGACCTTTCCCGGCTTGTGTCCACGAGCCTCAGGCCTGTAAAAGTACGATTTCACTGGCAGTTTTGTGAGTCCCACACCCTGTTTGAACCGGCAGGAGCAGCGGCCGGAATGCACTACCTGCAAAAAACGCAGCGCGACACCGGGCGCAAGCGCGGCGGCGGAAGGGACGGAAGCTGCCGAGGTGCGTCGCGTCGATTTTCACGTGAAGCGGCGTGGCCAAAGTGTCAAACTGGAAAAGAACGGTGTGGCTGGTCCATTCTGTCGTGACTTCCTGAAGTTCATGTCGAGCACTAAAACCCACTCGTTGGCGTTGTGTTTGCGCCCGGTGTCACGCAGCGCTTACTGCAGATCTACTCCAGCTGTCCTCCCTCGCCACTTCAACTAAAGTGCTGCTGTTAGATTGTACCCTTATCTCAACCTTCCCCTCCAGTTTCCCGCCTCCTCTGCTTCACAAGTCTCCGTGCCGACTCTCGTACTTGTTGATGATGTTCCTGCAGCGGCCCAGCTCTTTCCGCATGTCGGCCACCTCCTGGCGCAGGGTGGCGTTCTCCCGTTCCAGGAAGGCGGCACGCACCGAGATCTGGTTCTCCTTCAGCCGCCGAGCATCCCGCGAGCGCTTGGCCGCCTCGTTGTTCTTTAACCGCCGGCTCCAATACTTGTCGTCCTGTCGCCAGTGTGGTATGTTGGGGTGTGTGGGAGAGAAGGTGAAGGGAGGAGAGAAGGAGAAACAAAGAGGAGAACGTGGGATGAGAAGGGTCAGTCGTGTGACGAGGAAGAAAAAATGATGATCAGGATTAAAAAAAGTGGCAACAGCCGATTAGTTGCAGCTACAAACGGTTTTATCAGCAAATCAATACTAAAATGTAGTTTCTGTTTAAATTTGTCAAAACAAAGAATGTAAGATATCGGTACAATAATATCAGCAGATCATTCACCGTGTTTTCGCACTACAAGGCGCAATTAAAATCCTTTAATTCCCTCAGTGCGTCTTATAATCCACGTTTTAATTCTGGTTGTGCTCGAACTGATTTTATGTGGCGCTCAAAAATCCATCAACTTGTTTCTCTTAACGCGCCTTCATAATCCGACATTTTATAATCCAAAACAAAATGTTGGCATCAGTCAAATCCTGCAAATAAGCAACATATTTCTATGGGTGTGACTAAATTTAAAGACTGTGGCTAAAAGAGGCTGCAACAAAGATGAGTTCAAGCTTTGAATGATTTTTATTCTAATGCACTTGAACTATGATTTCCCATCGGAGTCACAATTTAAGTATTTTAAAATTTATAAACTCCCGTTGCAGGAATAGGAAACAAATTAGCTGCATTCATTTCTGACTATGTATTTTAAAATCATTTATTTATATGTTGAGTTTTCTTTACATTAAATGTGCGTGAATTTCATATAAAAATTGGCATTACTAGAATTTAAGTTGCAGTTTGCAATAACGATTGTGCTTCTTTTAGCAATTTCTAAAAGGCTAGAAAATTTTTTTTTTCAATATTATCTGTATACATACCCCTGACAGATATTAAATATGTTAAAAAAACAAATTTACACGTCTTATTAAGGCAAGAACGCCTGTTTAAAAAAAGGTTTCAATAAAATACGTTAGTATAAAAACCTTTTTATTTGATAAACGAGCTGTGGAAGATGTAGAAATGCAACTTCACTGAAACCTGCTGCATTTAATTTATGTTGAAGGTCGTGAAAACAACAAATGGTGGCTGATAAACAACAATAAAAATATGAAGAGCAAATTATTCTGGGCCTTTTGTGAAAACTGAGGTCAAATTTTCAAAAATCCTCAGAACTCCATTAGAAACGTTTCTGTTAAAAAGCACCGCGGTGGATCTGGGCTGGGTTTCAGTTTCCTCAGAGAATCATCTGCACCTCAATCCACAAGAAAACCTGGAAACTCGTTTATCCTTTAACAACATTTTTGAAAAAGTTTAGGAAATATCAGATATGATTTTTAAACAAAACGCTAAAACAGTTTAATAGGAAGTACCGTATTTTCTGCCGTAAATGTCCCTTATAAGTCGCATCAGTCCAAATATGTCTAATAAAATGGAAAAATCCATAAACGCGTCGCTTCGCCGTATAAGTCGCATCTGTTACGCGGCACCGCTGACAACCCAGAAATGTGGGCCGGTGTTGTGCTAAATATCGACTGGCTGACAAACGGCGGTCGCGGGAGCGTGCACGGGAAGACTTTAACAAGAATTTAACAAGATTAACACTTAAAAACAATTTGTTTGCTTGAAATTATAATAAAGGTGTGTCTCATTTGAACTTTTATTTAATAAATGCACTTTAATGGTCAAATCGGCTGCATTTCGCCGTGGCGGTGCAGTGAAATGACGCTGATTTGACGGCTGCTCCAAACAGCGATCGGAACGAAGGTGGCCACGTATGGCAAGCCGATTGTATCATTAATAGCCACTTTTACCTATTACACGATTCAACGGCATGCCATACTACTCGAGTGCCATCTAGTGGCTGAAAATGGTAGTGTTCAATATTTTCAGTCAGAATGAATGAAAACGGTCATTTATAAATATGAGGGGAAATCCGTAAATATGTTGCTTTGGCGTATAAGTCGCAGGTTATGCAAATTATGCTAAAAAACTGTGACTTATAGGCTGAAAAATACGGTATTCAGTTTCAGAAAGGGTCAAACCGTGTAAATCTGTCCTGATTTTTAAACGGTTCTTCTGAGTCACCGCTGGCAGAGATTTGTAGTCACAAAAGATAATTAGTCACAAAACGGTAATAATTAATTATAATCGGGGTTTGGTTGTTGTTTTCTTCAACGCGGTGTTGATTTTGTACGTATAACGGAACGTAAAGCCCGTTCACGACGAGCTGCTTCCTACTTCACCTTTTGACTTTAGCCAGAGATCATTTATTCCAAAGCTGCAAACACATGATTGATGGAACTAAGCAGGACTGAACCCAGCAAGGTGAGCGCCTTCGTCTCCATGATTTATAAACGCCTCAGGAGCTGCAGCTGCTCCGCTCTGAACTGTGAAAGCACGAGCCATTGATCACAGCTTTTCCCATTGTGCAACGAGCAGAGTACAAATATTTTAGGCCTCTCATCAGGAGGCATCATTACTAGTGGGCGTCACGCTCCTTCAGTTTTTTTTCCATACCGGCACAAGAGCTGTCAAAAATCTGTGGCCTTTGCTCGGATGAAGTTCAGGCTTTATAAGTAAACAAGCGCTGCCGTCTGTTTGGACTCATGCTGAAGGAAAATACGAGCCGAGCTCGGAGGAAGTCTGTTTAGTTTTCATTTAAACACGTGTCACTGGGCTTTCAAGGCAGACCCTTACCTATTCAACTTCTTATTGTTGTAAAATAACTTTTTAAAGCACTCACTGTAAACCAGGAACTCAAGCGTGAAAAATAAAACATTAAACGTCTGAACCACATCAAATGGTGCCGTTTGAAATGGTTCACTCCAGTGGTTTTTCCGATATATTGAATGCTCTTCTGAAATGTGGATCTACACTCCGTGTAAACAAAGCACTCTTTAGGATCCACCAAAAAAAAAAAAAAAACGCACGGAAGCATGAGTCTCGTGACTGTTTAGGCTGGTTGTAGTCTACGTGGGTGAACAAACTTGGGTTGGACAAGTGACTGTAAAAAGAATTCTGATGGTAATTTAAAAAATAAATATGAAAAGAACGATTTTACGACAACCATCAAGACTGAATACTGGAGACCAAGCAGAGCCGTGGAGCACCATAAAGACGCAGTTCAGCTGTCAAACCTCTGCTACACCAGTTACCGTAGTTTTCGGATTATAAGCTGCTACTTTTTCCGCACGCTTCGAACACCGCAACTAGGCCTGTCGCGATAAACAATAAATCAATTAATCGCATGATGAATGAAAATTATCGACCTCGTTTTCATTTATCGACTTTATCGTTTCTTCGTGTCTCTCTGGATGACAAAACGCTCAACTCCGGTGTTTTTCACTGACCCCTCCCTTTCTCTTTAAAACCCATTTTAACCGTCCAAAATCGTGTTTTTTGGATCGTTAAAAGAAGCTAAGCTGAGAAGCTAAGCTGAGAAGCTAAGCTGAGAAGCTAAGCTAACAGGCCGACCTCGGGGGGGAAAAAACCTCCGTCTTGTCGAAGCTCCAGAATTCACGGTTGAAGCCTGTGCCTTCATGTAAAAAGTTGTTTTTCCCTGAAAAAAGAAGCTGAGAACTTTACTGATTTTTTTTATTTTTAAATTAAAAGCTTTGTGTGAATAACGCTATGCTAAAGAGCTCAAACCACACCGAGCGTCCGCCATTTTGAGAACCGAAAAGAGACAGCTCTTGTCACGTCAAGGGGCCTCCCTCCCTTCTTAAAGAGACACGCTGCTCGCTCCCTCACTATCCATCCTTCGGTTCAGACAGTCTTATACTGCCATCCGGTGGTCGAAAAAAGGTACTACATGCAAACAAATTTTAAAATTTCTTCTTAAATTTGACAATAATTACTATTATTGTCAAATTTCAAACAATGTTATCGTTTATCGCAATAATTTGAGACAATTAATCGCCCTGCAAAATTTATTATCAGGACAGGCCGAACCACAGCTTATACAATGCTGTAGCTAATTTATGGATTTTTTTTTTTTAATTAATTCTTTTGAAGGGCTAACGAGCTTCATGCAGCCAAACATTTAGCCTCGTCACACCCGGGCGCTCGCATAGCTGCTCAATACACACTGTGCTCCCAGGTACTTTAGTAGGCACGATTTATATTCAGGTGCGCTCAATAGTCCAGAAATTTCTGTAACTTAATGTTTCTATACAAGTACTGTTTTTATAATTTACCCAATCAAAGCAATGTCTCAGAAACTGAATAATACTTCAGAGTGAAACTAGACTGAAGGTGAATATCGTTCTCCTTAATACAGTATAAGTGTGAAAACAAGCAGTTTGCTCATTTCAGTTGCGTGTAAGGTTTATAAAAGGTTGTGAAAGACGGACATTTAATTCTGTTTAAATATTAATATGTTATCAATAAAGCAGCTTCTTTAGTTTTCAATGCATCCTTATTTTCTTAAAACCAAACGTCGCCTTCCTGCAGTAAAGCAGCAGGTTACAGGTTTATATGTGTGACAGAAATGGATTGTGGGAGATGTAGTACCTTCTGCTCATCAGGAACCAGCATCTTGCGCGCCTTCTTGATCATCGGCTGAGGCTTCAGCTCCTCGTCTGAGAAACGATGCCGCCGTGGGTCGAAGGCCTCCTGGCCTGGGACGCTGGACAATGCCAGGTCTGCCGGGTCGGGGTCAAAGTTCACCATGATGTCACTGCTGCCGTTAGCTGCAGCCGGAGGTCCAGGGGGCCCTGGAGGGCAGGTGGAGGGGGGTGAGTGGTCCTGAGGCACCGCCTGCCCACCTGGTTAAACAATAAAAATGTTTGTTTTGTCACATTAATTGATTCTGGATGATTTTTAATCAAACATTGGGTGATTTTACTTCAACAGGTAAGATGTTTACATTTTATTAGCTTGTTTTTTTTTTTTTAGCAAACCTTTGTGTTTTTACACCACTAACATTTTAAAACATTTGTATCACTATAATGTAAAGCTTTTGTGTTTACTTGTGCAAATGTACAGCATTTTGTTCTCTGTTTACATCAGTTATATATACTTTATCATAAACATGTTAGATTAAACATATTATCTTTTTACTTTAAAAAGACTAAAAATGCTCCAAGACAGATCAAATGCACTGAAAACTCTAACAACCGTATTCAAACTATCGTCAATTTGTTGAAAAGAGCATGAAAGATCAACGAAAAAGAAACTCAACGGGACAGAAAAAAAAAGTAATTGTAACATTTTAACTTAACAGATTCGTCTTCTTTTTATAATCGTTCCTAAAAGTGTGGTAGAATCAGGATTCTTGCCATATAAGATCATTAAAAATGTCAAATTCAGACAATTCTGCTCCACTGAATTAAAGTTTTATTTATTTTATTTGTTTTAATTTACACACAGGTGAAAACATTCAGAGTTTGCAGCTACAAAGAGGAAAAAGATGCAGAGCTGCATGAGCCGCGCGCTTTATTTCTCATAGTTTATGCAGGAAACATGAAGACAGAAACGATCCAACACACCGTGCACGAGGAAACTTCACTCTCCCAGTTTCACCACCACGTGTCAGCATTGAGTCAGAAACCCATCATGGCAGCCCTTACAGGTTTTTAGTTGCCCCTTCACATAAAACTTGTGTTTTTAAGGCAGGATAAACATCCATAAATAACTCATCTAAGCCTTTGTTGTGTATAAATTACAAATCTTCAGTCAGACTTGTCCCATTAGTGATATTTTCATTCACAGCACAACAGCAGCGCTGTTATAATCCTCAAATAACAATACTGGAAATAGAAAGCCCAATTAAAGAAAAATCAACCCGTGGATCATGACAGTACTGTGTGCCAGTGAACGTGAAGTTCTTCCAATTTTTTATTTTTATTTTTTTTACCCTGCTGTAGCTCTGCCTTTGTGAACGTAACACAATAAAACCAAGAATAGGAGCTCCACTCTCAGCCAAACCTACGCACCGACATTTTCCTCACGTTTTTTTTTAGCATGCGCTCTTTTTAATGTTTTGTAAAATATGTTTTCTCGGAACAGATATGTATTTATTAAAATGTAAAATGTGTAATGGCTTGTATCAGAAGAGAAACATGAAAGTGTTGGTTTAGAAACCATCCAGTACGAGTCAGACGTGCAGTGTGGCAACATTTGGAGGACAATTCAGCCCCAGGCTCTGTGCCACGGATTATAAATAGCTGCTGAGCTGGAGACCAATATCAAGCAAAACAGTAGTGGAAGCCTCGCAGATATGTGAGCAAACTAAACGGGAGTATTGCATCTTTACTGCATGGAATATGGCTTGGTAGGTGATTTTATGAAGAAAGAAATGGGGAAGCGGCTGTTTAAAAACTAAAGGCATGCATTTCACCTGCTACATTTCATGCCAACGCTTTAATATAAGATCATCTTGTGTTGACAGTTGCAGACGTTTTGGTCAAACCGTTAAAAATAGGCATTGCATTTCCTGTGAACATGCAGCGGGAATGCATATTGCAGAAGAACTTGCTGAAAAACAGCTAAACGTAGCTAAAAGAAACATGCTGAAATGGAAGAACAAGCCTAAATTAGCAGAAGAAAGCAGAAAGAACACATATTTGCTGAAATGTTTAAATAAGCAGAAATTTCAACAACATTTAAGAAATTGGCTAAAAGGCTGGAATTAGCAAAAAAAAAAAAAATGGCTGAAAAGTAGCTGAATGGCAGAAAGAAGCTTAAACTACTAGAAGGAAGCAGAAAGAGCTGAAATTAACTCAAAAATGTGGAATTAGCTGAAAAGTTTATATTAGCTTAAAACAGACTTAAAACAACTGAAGTAGCAGAAAAAGTTTGAACTAGCATAATTAAGCTGATACGAGTATAACAAGCTGAAATTATCAGAAAGGAGTTAATTAGGCTGAAAGTAGCAGAAATTACCACAAAAACTTGAATTTATCTGAAAACGGCTGAAATTAGCTAGAATATGCTAAAGGGGTAGCTAAACAGGTAGAACAAGCTTAAATTAGACGAAGAAAGAACACATTTGCCAAATTAGGCTGAAGGAAGCAGAAATGAACACAAAAAGTGGAAATTATCTGGAAAAAAAGCTGAAATTAGCAAAAAAAATAAAACGGATGAAAAGTAGCTATAAAAAAACAAAGAGGTATATCAGAAGGAAATGGAGAAAGCAGATTTTTGCTGAAAAAGTTGAAATGAGTGCAACAAGTGTGGAATTAGCTGAAAAGGCTAAAATTAGCATAAAACAGCTAAATAGTAGCTGAAATGGCAGAAAATGCTGAAACATAGAAAGGAGCTGAAAGGAGAAGCTGAAATTAGCAGAAATAAGTCAGAAGAAGCGCAAACATGTTGTAGTTAGCAGAAAGAATTTGAAAGGATCACAAAACAGCTGAAAAAAAAAGTAGCTGAAAGTAGCTGAAAGAAGCTGAACCAGAACAAAATGTGAAAGGAGCAGTAAAATGTGAACACATCTAAAGGTTTGAAGGATGTAAAATGAGCTCAATTCAGTTTCTATGAGAAAAAAAAATATGGCAGAAAAGGCTAAAATATTTCAAAAAGCTAAAGTTGAACCAATACCAAAAGTCATTTCAGGATTGTCCTGAAAGAGCTGAACGTTTTGATTTATGTTTGGTGAAATAGCACAAAAATTGTGGAACAAGAAAGATGCTGAAAAACGTACAAAAAAAGAAAAACGGATCACAATAGTGTGGATGCTTCACAACAACATGAAACTATATCTGGTGCGGTGTTTAAACATGCCGTGTTCCAAGGGTTAAAATCTTGAAGCCACTACCAAAAGTTGAAATCCGTTTCTGAAAATATATTCACTTGTATCTTTGCTATATTTATTAATAAAGATTAGCTGTGGCAGCCATCTTGAATTGGATTCACAATCCATCCGGTACTTTTTGTCCAACCAACTATTATTGTCTGAAAGACTCATTAAAGTCGGTCCAGTGATTCATAGATCTTTTGATAACCAACAGGGTTGACTCCAACATTTAATGCTAACGTTTTCCGCTAAGATATATTCAGTTTATTTATGCAACATTATTTCACAACAAAGGGCACTGTACAGAAACATTCACACACATTAGAAAATTCTAATTAGCAAAGGAAGTCAGCTGATTGTGTTAAACCTTCGCTTCATCACAGTCGTCCATCCTGAGCAGCAAGACGATACAGGATGATGCTCGGCTGCTAACACGCCACGTTGAATTACAGAAAACGTTGTGTTTCTTATAGTCAGTTGGCTGTGGTAGCCATCTTGAAATGTGTTGACTCCAAAATGTAATCGTATGAGTACACCCAATGATTAGCTTCTGAGAGTTTCAATAAACTTTTGTAGCGTATTTTTGGCCGTATAAGTCGCACCGTTTTGCATAAATTTGCAAGTCCTGCAACTTATACACCGAAGCGGCTAATACACGTTTGTTCCCCATGTTTATAATCTAATTTTTGGCTGAGATCTGACGATTTCATTCATTCTGTCATGGAAAATATTAAACGTTACCATTTTCAGCCACTAGAGGGCCCTCGACTCATACGGAAAGCCAAGTATCTCATTAATAGGTAAAAGTGGCTATTAATGAGACACTTGGCTTGCCATACAGAGCCACTTTCGTCTCGCTCTGGAACTCCTGGAGCAAACGTCAAATCAGCTGCAATTCACCGCGACACCCAGACGAAATGCAGCTGATCTGACCGTTAAAGTGCATTTATTTGGGAAAAGTTACACTGAGACACACCTTTGCTATAATTTCGAGCAAACAAATAATTGTTTATAAGCGTTAATCTTATTAAAGTCTTCTTAAGTCCTCCCGTGCACGCTCCTGTGGCCACCATTTGGCAGCCAATCGATTTTTTTTTTTTGGCACAACGCCGGCTCACATTTCCGGGTGGTCAGAGGCGTTGCATAACTAAATCGACGAGTCAATGGTGATGCATAATGGATGCGATTTCTATGGCAAAACGACATATTTATGTTTTTTTCACTTTATTAGACATTTGGACTGATGCAAGTTATACGGTGGTGCAACACACAGTTCTTTGGTTCATTACTTTGTTTACAATACAGAGTCACCAACATGCGCACAATCCAGTAAAATCACGTGTTTTCACTTTTAAATATATTTCAGATGATTTAGCTTTAGTGTTTAGATTGTCTACATTCTGTAAGAAATCATGTGTTTTTTGTCAAAAAAAAAAAAAATCCCATTTTAGGACTTTTCTGCACTTAAACGTGGACGTCAGTCCGAGCAACACAGCTGGTTTGCTGCCCGCCCACTGCCGTGCGCTGTCAATCACGTTATTGTGCACATCAAGCCGAGTCTCAGCCAAACCATCTAGAAGTTCTTAAAAACCAGACTGACGCTTCATCGCAGGCAGGAGGTGGGAAGCCACTGATCGAAACAAGTTTCCCTGTTTTTAGTTTTGTGTTTTCAGTTTGAACTCCGGCTGAAGTCTAAGATCAGATCTTCTCCGGATTGTTTACATTGAATTTGGCGTCTTTCTTCTATTCTGGTGAGTCGATGGGTAAAAGAGAAAGACGTTCGCCTTCACTTTTACAGAACGTACGGCAGCTTTACGTCCTCGGACCAGTGGAACGTGTTTCTAAATGAAGAGGTTTGGATTCACCTTCATGCTCCAGCCTCTCCAGTCATCATCCCATAAAGCTGCCTCTCTCTTTGCTTTAAGCCAAAGTAGAAAATCTATATGTGGTTATTTTATTTTAGACTCTAAATGAATCCTGAACAAAACTCACATGGCTCCACTGTACAGGAGTGTGGACTGAACGTGG